CCGGCTGGGGCTAAACCACGACACTACTCCTTCCATTCTTTTAGGATTCCAGAAACATTCTCTTTCATACATCCTACAAACCGAAAATATTTTGTTGTCAAAACCTGACACAAAATAAACAGGAAATATACACTCATACATATCACAGAATGGTAGGGGTTGGAAGGGACCTCTGAAGATCATCTGGTTCAACTCCCCTGCCAAGGCAGGATCACCTAGGGCAGGTTGCACAGGAATGCGTCCAGTCGGGTTTGAAGGTCTCCAGAGAAGGAGATTCCACAACCTCTCTGGACGGCCTGTTCCAGTGCTCCATCACCCTCACAGTAAGGAAGTTTTTCCTCATGTTGAGCTGGAACTTCATGTGCTGCAGTTTATGCCCATTGTCCCTCATCCTATCACTAGGCACTACTAAAAAGAGACTGGCTCCATCCTCCTGACAGCCACCCTTCAGGTATTTATAGACATTGATAAGGTCCCCTCGCAGCCTTCTCTTCTCCAGGCTAAACAGACCCAGGTCTCTCAGCCTTTCCTCATACAAGAGATGTTCCAGTCCCTTAATTATCCTCATAGCCCTCCGTTGGACTCTTTCCAAAAGTTCCCTGCCTCTCTTGAACTGGGGAGCCCAGAACTTCACAGTACTCCAGATGAGGCCTCACCAGCATGGAGCAGAGGGAGAGGATAACCTCTCTTGACCTGCTGGTCACACTCTTCTTAATGCACCCCAGGATACCATTGGCCCTCTTGGCCACCAGGGCACATTGCTGTCCCATGGATAATTTGTTGTCTACCAGAACTCTAAGGTCCTTCTCCATGGAGCTGCTTTCCAGCAGGTCAACCCCTAACCAGTACTGGTGCATGGGATTCCTCCCCAGGTCCAGAACTCTACATTTGTCCTTGTTAAATTTAATGAGGTTCCCCTCCGCCCAACTCTCCAGTCTGTCTAGATCCCAAGTTACTTGAATATACACCCAAGTTACCTGAAATGAACAAAACCCTTATCGTTTAAAAAGCAGGTTAAACAAAATCTCACACATGTAACAAAGTATTAAAGCTGCCCAGTAAATGGGGCAATTATGCTTACTTACCATTTTAAGCTTATTGGCTTTTTGCTGAAGTTTTGATAATTATAAAGTTGAAATGGGAACATCATCTCCAGTGAAATTCCACTTACGGAATTTTAGCATTAATACATATATTTCTCACTTTATGATACATAGCCACCATCTTCTGGCTAGATAACATAGTTTTCTACTCAACCCAACTTCATTATGAGATGCATCTTACCTGTGTAAGTGATCTCAGAAAACTGTCTCACACATCCATAATATTTCTTTGGCTATTTGCAATGTGAAAATTCCCCTCCCCAAAAGCCACATCCTGATACTTTGCACAAGACACACTAATCAATCTTGCCTGTAATTCTTGCAAGTTTTCTTCATGGTTGAACGTAAATCTCGTGTCCAGAGCATTTTCTACATTTTCCAACCAGCAACGCAGCTCATCAAGCTTCTTTCTGTATTCTATCAGCTGCTGATTCTCTCCTTTTAGCCTGGAAAAGGAAAACAAAAAATCCACATGCATTTGTGCAGTGAGCACAGCATGTCTGTCCTACATTACTCCTGATGCAACAGTGTCACGTGTTTTTCACTGGCTGGAGCATTTTAAAGGATTCATTTTGGTATTCAAATGATTGTTAAAATGCAAGATACTTGCAAATTAATACTACCGCCTTAAAAATAGATAAATTTCAGTGTCAAAGTCACAACATAGACTTTTTAAAGTCTGCAGAAAACATTAAACATAACTGATAGTAATGACAACACCTTTAGGTCTAATCATTGTAAGCCACTACAAGTGGCCACTATTAGTTAAAGTATTAGAAATGTCCCTAAAACCTCCAAGGGAAAAAATCCCTAAATCACACAAAGTTTTAATGGAACTTCTCAAACTAAATTATTAAGAAAAATCTTACTACATTTCTAAATATATCAAGAGATGTTAAAGACGTATAATTATATAAATAGCCTCCGAAAATAACTATTCATTCCAAGGATTTATCCGTATATATTTTTTAGCAGTAGGAACAGAGAGGCAGCCTTATATTCCCAGATGCACTGAAAATTTGTATATTTCTCTCAGACAACCTTGCTCTTTGATCTTTTTAAGTAAATATAAGGCTACTTCAAAATGGATTTTCATCTAGGCAGATGGATTAAGTTGTTGCAAATACAGACCTAAAGATCTTATTTTATAGTGGAAATTCAAGACCAAGTGTTTCAATTAGTGTATCTTTGACGATGTAAAAATAGAAGTCAAGGTAATGTACTTACAGTTCAGCTTGAGCCAGAGAAAGTAGCTGAGTGTTCCTTCCTAAAAAAACCTGGCTAAACAATTAAATTATTTTAAAAACAAAGGAAAACTGAGAGAAAAGAATTTTTGTGGTTGTCGTCTGGTGGGTTGTGTTAAACACAGACTCACTAAACAGTCAATTGCAGGTGCACTTATGAGGAATTAGTTCTAGAAGACAGTTCAAAACACAGAGGTCTGAATGTCAGGAAAATTCAGATTAATGACAGCGTGCAATAGAATGCGCTCTTTCCCAGAATCTTCTAAATGAGATTCTCCTCATCGCATCTGGTCAGACATTCAAATTTCTGATTAACTTATTACCTCTGTTGTCTATCCATGACCTCCACGGTGATTGCTTTCCAGCGTCTATTCAATCCCGCCAGCTTCTCCTGTAGAAAGCTCCCGTCTGTAGCAGACAGTTTCTGTATGATCCCTTCCCCAGTTCTGTTCAATGCTGAAACACTGGACTGATGGCTGCTGACTCCCTCTTCAAGTTCCTGTCAGAAACATAAAAGCCACCACACAGAATTTTATTACTGGCCTAAAGTGACTTTGATCTGTGGCTCATAATATGCAGGATGAATCCTGGGGGCATATTATTTTACTAAAACAGGCACTTAAAGCAGTCTTACTTAAAATTGGATGCTGTTGATTTAAGTTATTAAGAGTCTGTTGTTGAATCTAGTTCAATTTTCTAATGTGTGTCATAAAAAGATAATGACACGGAATAGGCTGCCGAATGCTACTTACGATCACAAGAATTCATTTAAACCATCAATGCTAGAATCCACAGTCACGTTTTGACTCCTTTCCTCTTAATGTACAGCACTTTCTAGGAGTGCTAACAGCAGGTATGACTTTTTTTTAACCAGTTCCTTTCATAACCTGTGCCCCTGACACTTTCTGTAACTTAACAGTATTTTAGCTAGGACAATTATGGCTGTGCTGCCATGGTCCCCAGACAACACAGAAAATCCACGAAACTAAAGGAAGTCAGAAGATGTTGGGATCAAACCTTCAAATATCCCTGACTACTACAAAAACCTTACATTGTTAGTAAAAATTTCTTTGCAATTAGGTCAGGAATAAGATGATTCAAGAAAGAGAAGGGAAATGCCATAGAAGAAAAACCCAAGCAGCCACAAGAACACAAACTTACATTTCTTTAGCAACACATACCTAACTCTTGAATAACTATTATTCCCCCCCCAAAAAAAAACCAAAACAAAAAAACCAACCAAACAAAAAAAAACCAACAAAAAAAAAACCACACCACAAAAACCTGATGCTTAAAGTTATGGTTTTTTCTCTTTATTTAAAAGGAAGTAAAGCAGTATAGCTGAACCAAAAAGTCTGCTCTTCCATAATGATGAGCTAGAAAAACATTAGGAAATTATATTTCAGAACTGAAGTCTGAAGCAATCAAACCTAAGATATATGTAGTTGGAATTTTCTTTTTCTAGATTGCTTATTCAATGCAGGATCTTGCAAAGTCACTAGTTTAAAAAATAATTTGTTAAATTATAATTAACCATTGTTGGGGTCCATTTATTTAATTGTGAGTAGACAGTATGTGAAATATAAAGGATTTCTTAGCTGACTAACATATTTTTGAAGCTGTAACAAACCTTATAAAAATTATCCCAACATTTGAATTATCAAATTATCTCGAACTCATCCATACTAAAAGTCATCATAAAACACTATACTATAAGCAAGAGTTGAGATCTTCCCCAAGAATCATTTTCAACTGCAATTGAAAAATAAATTTTAAGAGTTGCCACTTTTTAAAGTATAATTGCACAGCCTCATTTCAATTCTGTATGTCTATATAGAAAACTAGAATTTTAGACAAAAAAAAAAATCAAGACTTTTTCCAGCTTGCTCATTTTCTGCACAAATCATACATACCTGCTGATGTAGCTCAGCTGCCTGCAGCTCCAGGCTGCCATCTGGACCATGGGCATCAGCTAGTAATGCTTCAGCTTCTGTTATCCAGTGGGAGAGGTCATTGAGATCACAGTGGAACTGTCTCCATACCTCAATCGCTCTATCAAAGCAACTGTTTAAAAACAAAGCATTGAAAAATTACCCAAACCGTTTCGGTGAAAAGGCTACTATTCCTACTCCAGCAAGTAGAAACTTTCCTTGCAAAACAGAAAGGCTGGCATATAGCCTGGTTAACAAAGCCCTGGTACTGAAGGCTTCCTGACATAGTAGTAGCCAGTAAAAGCCAATAGTGCAGCCTGTCGTCAACTTCCACTTGAAGGAAAAAAAGGCAGCCATAGGCAAACTTTTGCTTCTATCACTTAAAAAATAAAGATTGATTAGCTGCATCAAATTGGTCTGCAGAACCCTTTTCTTCTTTATTATAAAACAGTTCAGATATCAGTGTGGAACATGAAATATGATTAATTGCTCAGATTATATTTTTTTTAATTCATAAACCATGGGGTGCTAGTGCCTGGAATTTAATAAGTGAAGGTGATTTTGATTGTATAGAACTGACTGTATTACCAGTGGGCCCACATAAGTAAGTCTTACACAATTTAATCACACAATAATTTACCAGGCATTTCATTATTACTACCATCTTTGCAGCTTCAAATTAATGGGTAGCTTAACTTGAAGGCCAACATTTTCTAGCATGGAACATGCTGAATTATCACAGTCAGAAGGATGTTTTTAACTAAAATGAGTTTGTTGACATAGTAGATACTCTAACAAAAACAGCCCATGAATGTTAAATAAGAAAACCATGTCAGAAAGGCTGGCTTTCTACTTGTCAAATGTTAAGTCTATGTTAGCATTATAAGGCAAATAGGACAGATGTCTCAAAGGACACAGGACTTGGGACAAACAACGTATCTACACCAACATACTTGATAGTATCCCATTCCAAACTAATAGTCGTCTTTAAAGACATAGAAGGCCAGGTCTCCTGCTTATCAGGGGACCCTCTAATGTGACAGAGGAAAGATCTCATCTGCAGCCCATCATTTTTGTCTTAAACAATTCCAACGGCAAAGACGCCAGGGTTACCGTTCATATCCAGATGCAATCTGAAGTTAGCAGCATAACTTTAAAGAGCTACCACTGCATCTATTTTCTTCACTAATTAAATTCAACAATCCCAGATATCCTAGTGAGACAGGATTTTCATCAAAATTATATCTCATTTTCATCAAGACATCCATATTTCTTGGCATATACAGGGCTTTTTTTAATTATTATTATTAGAATTGGCCCACGTGAAGAATAAAGAAGAAAGCCTTAAATATCTCTACTTAAATTTTTCTGATCCTACCTCCTAGTTCTACCATTTCAGTCTCCTGCACTCATCTCAATTCAATACACTAGACCAACCTCTACACTGATGCCAAATCTCATTCTCCTTTTATTTCTCAGGTACATTTTAGTCTAACTGAACATACTGTCTCGCTATATCATCTCATTCCACATTTAATGAGGAGAGATATTCTAAGCACTTAAGATAGTTTAAAAGAACATATTATTGGCTTCCTTTAAAATTAAAGTTTCTGAACATGTGACTGTTTCAGAATCCAGAATTTTAAAACTTTAGAGGAGAAAGCATTGAGATACAAATTTTTTCAAACTGTACTTTAATAAGTACAGTTTGAATTAAACTTGTGCTTGGCTACATCCAAGTTTTTATCAAAGGTTTAACTACTTAGCTAGCACTCAATCACAAAATCATTACACTGCCTCTGAAAACTAAATCAATACTTTGCCACAGACTTCAGATGCTGTTTCTACTAGTTCTGTCAAAATGTCCACCCACTCCAGAAATAGAAAAAAGCCAGAGATTATTAAGGAGATAAAGTCTACTAGTCTTCTTGCTTATACTTAGGACTGGGAAAAGCAGGAATAAATTTGGTTAAAAATTCTTCTTACTAGCAGAAAGGGTATAAAAATACAGCATTTTAATATTGTCTTCATTAATCAAAGCATATCCTTCTATTGAAATTGTAGGACTTAATATATTCAGGAAGCTACATACCATTTCAGCTTAAATTGCTAGTCCAGTAGTCCTTTCTGTATGAAAATCACACCCAATGTTATTCTCATTAAGATGCACAGCTTTACAAACTTTATGAAGTTCAAGATTAATTTGTATTCAGTGAACCAACTGAGGAGGTAATCCATTGCATTTTGCCAGCTAATCATAAACATTGAACTTCCTCTGATACACTTATCTTTTTCAATGGGAAGACAAGGTTTCTGGTTAACCCTGGCTACTTAATAAAATGAAATTTAAGTAGTAAATGAAATTGTACTCATACTTGCAAAAGGATAATATTAGTTAAAGCTTTTCAATTAAGTTACGGGGGGGAAGAAAGGCATAACTAAAGCTTAGCAGGCATCATACCTACAAAGACAACCAGATAGCTGCAGGCATATACATGCAGATGGGCACCAGATTCTGGAGCGGTTGTCTCCAAATATGGCAGGTGACCACAGGCAGGCAGCAAGAGTACAAAAAGTGGCACCACTAGTTTGTTTCACAATTTTTTAATTTGAAAACACAGTGCCTGCTGAATTACTAGAAATCTTGATGGTTCACTGATTCAGTGGCCCAGAATTTCTGGAAGTCTCTGCTGAGACAATGCTATCAACTGATTTTTATACTCCTACACATACACCAGTGCTCTGAGAAAGAGCTGAAAACATCAGCTTATGTAACACAAACTTCCTAAAATCATCTCTTCAAAATACACTACCAAATGTGTTTGACATCAGATTTCTGGTGCTACAAAGCAAGGGAACATGGTTAGTCATTATTTTATGCTCTACAGAACTTCTGCATTAACCATTACCTTATATCACCATTAAAAAGCAAATACTGTAAAAGCAATTTAACTACAGTATGAGCCTTTGCATTTAAGTTTCACAAAATCATTTTCAGCCATTAAGGTTTTTTTGCATAGCAGCAATCTCAGTATCTACTGCTGTTTGCAGTGTGAATATCTTCATCTTAGTGGTAACTTCCTGAACACATACTTTCATACTTTCACCAATTCCAACTTAAAATGCCTTTCTGACACACTTTTCCAAGTTTGACTAAGTGGTATTGAGTTTGTTTTTAAAACATTTAAAGATACTCCAGATAAGGCATTTTCAGTTTAGAATATCTTCTGTAAGGGGTGGGGAGAAATCACAGCTTCGCTTAACTTTGTGGTTTGTTTGTTTTTCTACTTTTTTTGCATAAATGAAATTGCAGCTATTTGATCTTTCTGGAAGGGAAATAGGAAATACATTTTTCTTAAGCATTGATTTTAGTATTCTCTTGTTCCCTCAACCACAAAATTTGATGACATGGTCACCTCTCATCTTCAGTTATTTACAACAAAGATTATTGAAAACTATCATATGTGCTGTATTTTAAAGACCCCACCATTTCAAACTCCTTCCCTCCTTCAAAAGCAGCCTTGAATTCTTTGTTAAAAGATGTCCTACTCAGCATTTTTCATCTCAAACTTTGCTTTGCAAAACCTTTACAAAACAAAGTTGTTTTACAAACATTTTATTTTATAAAGTAAAAACAATCAGCTTCATAAAAGCACCCAAACTACAATTTCCATATGAACTGTTTCAACATTCAATAACTCTGGCAATTATTGTGTAATACTAACATATTAAAGCTGATTTCTCCCAAACTCTTTATCTTCTTCATTAGGGTACATTTGTAAAATGCTTATAATCAAGTACATAAGATATTTACCACATGGCCACAGAAACCAAATATCCTTGACTTACCACTTACGATCATTGTACATTCTATTAATTCTATCCCATTCTGCATTCAACTGGGTTAGTGCATCTCCTATTTGTATCGCCTCAGGTCCAGATGCTTCTAATATAACATCAGGCTGCTTCTCATGTATGACTGCAATTTGATCCCCAAGTTTATCCAAAATATCTTTTATGTTCTGCAAGCACAGTAGTAACACAAGCCATTAGTAAAGTCAACATCAGCAGAAAATGTAAAAAAATTTTAAAAAGACCAAAAAGTAATCTCTTCAAAACACTGTTCCAAAAACCAGTATCTGTAACAAGACCATGACCATCATCAGTTTACAAATTAAATCAGTCTTAGCACCAAACTGAAGAGTCCATCACACCTTTTTAAGCATGTATCCTCAGTTTTTTATGAAGAGGATGAAATATTTTATATATCCAGTCTGTAAAGGGGCATACCATACTTTTCAAAGCAGCAGTGTCTTCATTATTAAACAAATCTGCCCCTGTGTCATGAGGACACTCTACATATTCCTTCCTTGTGTAAAAAATGAGTCACGAAATGTGACTTTATTATGCTTCACGTAGCCTCACACACACATAGAACTGCAAAAGCATAAGCTACATAAAAATTTTAGATTTGAATGACAACGTTAAGGCCATGTATCTCAAATATCACTGCACTAGGATATAAGAATACCTTTAAACCAGATGCTGTTGTTGATGCTGTCTTGGTATTTAGAGGACAAACAGTCCATGCAAACAGCAGAATTTGCTTCTCTTTTTGAATTTAAAACAGTTACACTTCTAAAAATTTTATGCTTTGCTATTTGCTTCTTCTGAAAACATCCTTAGATGAGACCAAAACTTCAAAATCAGACAAGAGACCTGCACTAAAATGAAGCATTTTAAACCCATTTGAACAAAAACACTCCTAATTGTACTTAAGGGATCAGAGAAGCAGAGTAAACAGGGACAAGAGAATCTCATCAACAAAACAGAAGAGTCACCTACTGTATCAAACTTTGGCATCATTCCCCTAATTTGCTTTTGAAAACTATGCCAAAAAATAAATATGAAAAATGAAAGCATGTACACAGCATAACAAAAAGCAGGTCAGAAAAGTGGACTAAAATTCTGAAAAGCTTTTAAAGGACCTGTGTAACAGCTGCAGAAACAGCTGATCTAGCTCTAGGAGAGAGGTAAAGCCTGACTACCTCAAATATAAAGACACATGGACCCCACTATGCTTCCCAACCCATAGAGTTGCATCTATACTGCACCGCATTATGTGCAATTCTCAACTCAAATGGATGTTTTCTGTGGGAATCTCTGTATCATGCTCCTTTGCATGTTCAAAATTAACCAGGACTCAGACTTCTACTTACTTAACTCACATTTGACAGCAGGATTCAATACTTTCAAACATACTTTCTTCATCCCTTTTTGAAGGAGGGCAAATCCCTACCTACTTCCTCATCATTAATCACACAGGTAAATCCACTGGCTGGCAATGAGAACTGGAAGCTTAAAATTGAGCACATATTGACGATTTGCTAATCAGAACAGGTACTGTTGTCTTATGGCCTCATACACAGCTTCATTCAAAAGTCAAGAGTCTCCCTTTCTCCCTCTTCCCATGTGAGCAATAGTTTTCACATGGCACTGAGAACAGCAGCTGTATTAAGGAGACCAAGCAGGAATGTAAGGAGATTGGCTTTAGCATTTCTCTACGTATTATGTAGACTACATGATGAAAAACACAACAGTTTCTCCAACAAAAGAAGCCAAACCTTTCTCCCTCAACCTCCCACTCAGCTTCCATACTGTTCCACCTTGTAACCAGATTCTGCATAAAGAAAAATTAGCCACAAAAGTGTCTCATTATTTATTTTTCAGTGCATATTGATCCAGTGTATACTAAGCAAAAATACAAGTATGGCTATACAGTCGCTAAGGTGGTCTTTTTTTCTTCTGCTATTCCCCTCTCCAGTTCTTCCCTCTGAATATAATGCTTAGGCATGCAGTACCTTCAGTGCATCTTCCTGAGTTGAAAAATCCTCATAGATGCCAGTATTTAGCTCTGGTGCATTCAGCAGCAGTTCAACATCAGCCATGGCCAGCAAGACTTTGTTGATTTCAACCAAGTATTCAGCCGAAAAAGGCAAGGTCCTAACCCCTGCGGCAAAGTGGCCTTTTAACCTCTGCTGGACAGGGATTGCCTAAAAACATGAAAGTTCGTTTTATATTTCAAAGAACAAGCAATTTTATGAAAAAAATCTAAATCAGTAGACTACATGCAGAATAAGTAATTTTGTACATTAAAAGACAAAACAAAGGCTTTTCTAGCAAAGTTACATAAATTAAGAAAGCTGCAAGTTCTGCAGAGAACTGTTTCTATATTTATTTTTAAAAGTCAGAAAACAGTAGATATCATGTTTCACAATGACCCTGTATTATTCTTTATTAAAAATCCAGGACGCAGGAGTACTGAGAGCACTGCTGTTACTCTCACCTTGATCCTTACCATTTCCAGAAATTACACTTCTTGATCGAGCCTGTATCTAGTTGTGATTGCAACCCACTGTCTGCTTCCTTCATCATCAAGGACTACCAGAAATAACCATTTTACTGAAGCAGACTTTTTTTTCCCTCTCCACATTCTTTCCAATAAGCATCCCTACCCACATTTCCCAACCATTTTTTAAATTAGTGCTCCGCCAATACCACAATATGCTTTTTGCAGCAATAAGAGACACTAACTCCTCAAGAGCTTGGCAATTGTTATCTGCTCTGGCTGTAAATCCAGACTATCTAGCCAAGTACCATGTTAGCAGATAAGAAAACAAGAAGAGCTTTAATTTAATTTAATGCAGCTTTTTCTTGGATCATAAATGATGGCCTGGATCTGAAGCATTAGGAAGCCAGTTGCAAGCAGCTATACTCTGCCATGCCTGGCAAAGGTAGCAGAGGCAGGTGAAGCAGATAGTCCAAAAACTGGAAGCAGTTTTTTGCTTAAAAGGTTTCTCATCCAACAGGATTCTGTTACCATCTCTGAAAACAGACCAGTTTTTTAAAATCAGCAACGAAAAAGTAAACTGACCTCCACATCCAAAGAATTCAAGCAACTTCTGAGCCACCATCCTGTACTTCGTGAGTTTGAGTGAAGCAAAACAGAGACACTCAACTCTATAATTTACTACCAGCTGAGAATACACTTAAGAGTGTGTGAATAAATGTATGTTCACAGCAATTTAAGCCAGTGAATTTTACTTTGCAATTAGTCTGGGCTGGGTGCACACATGTAAATCACTACCATAGCTGACGAGTAAAATATTACGCCTCACTAACAAAGTTGTTTGCAAACACCTGTCTGTACCTTCCTCCTCCACATGTTTCTGAGCATTTCAAATACATCACTCAAATTAACTGGAATCTAACATATGCAGCATGTGTATTGCAAAAGAAAAAGACTGCAGCAGAAAAGGTATGCTCATGTATTCACCACTCAGGACTTCTTCTCATGCACTCAATACTCCTAAGGATTTTGTTTTGTGTTGGTTTTGGGTTTTTTTGTTTTGTGTTTTGTTTTTGGTATTTTTTTTAAAGTAGACAGTCATTCCTGTTATTGATACTGGGGACACAGTTGTACTCCCACAAGACTTTTACCACCGAACATGGTATTCTTTCAGTTATTCATTGCATACCAAAAGAAACAGGAAGTACAGGCACATAAGCATAAATTGGGTCTACTGAAAACAAGTATTACAGACAAGCTGTACATAAAAATCCATAAAATACTCAAAAAATACTCATACATAGCTTTTGATTCAGTAGCAGTACAGCAAGCAGGCACCACAGTAAAAAACATAAACTACTCCATATGCTTTAGTTACAAATCCAGAATCTTGGTCCCTGATGCTCCCCAAACACATTTTCTTGAGGTGCTGTGTATTTTGTCAGCTCCCATCACTGAAGTTTAGAGCAAAAGCCGAAGGCTTAGGCATTACTCTGATTTCCTGAGGAAGGAGAGGCCCCAGCTCCAAAGAAATCAGACAAAGCCTGTGCACCTCAAAGTATCTTTTCCCCAGCAATGTGGACTAAGGCCGAGTTTGAACAAACACCAGGATGCCTGCTGCAGCACAGCTGCCTGCAACATCTTCACAAGGTGTTTTCTCCAACATCCCACAAGTCTCATTCTCACCCAGGTGACAGTCCAGAATCTAGACTTCACCCAAATTAATAGGTCACTGGACTTTATTATCATTCTACTTCACAGGCATTGCTTTATCTTCCATGAGAAAAAACTTGCACAAGATTTAAAACAACATGTTGTTGGCATGCATCAAACTTGTTCTCCACTTGCTGTCCACGCTGACATATACTGAAACTTTTTGCTTCCCCAGTAGCACCACCCTGGGCCAGGTTGCTGCTCTTCTGCAAAGTGATTGCTCCTGGTGCTGTTCCTGCAAAGCACGCCTCGTTGCTAATCGCCTCCAGCTGCCTCCCATAACTGAGACGATGTTTCCTCCTTTCACAGCCCTCCTTCTTAAAAGGTGAACATATGTAAGTGTTAAAACCACATTAGTGCTTTACTACAGCTCAGTTTTAATTCTTCAGCTGTTCCCTATCTTGCATTGCAGTCTGGCAGATTCTAAAATGCAGCATAATGTATTAAAAAATGGAAGAGCAGAAGTTTGACATAACTGTCTCACATAAATCAAGCACCTATATGTCACAGAAACTGGTTTTTAGGGTTTTGGTTTGGTTTTTTTTTTAATTAAAAAAACAGGCAAGCAAACTCTTTTTGTAAGCACCCACAAATGTAAAGTTAATCAAAGGTTATTTTAGGATGAAATCTGACTGGATGACTGTAATAGCCCTTTTCTACTTTAATTTCAGTGGTAACAAAGCATGTTTATCAAATTTGATCTCTCTTTAATACTAGGAAAAATGTAGGACTGGGGAAAAAAGGGAATACTTCATTACCAGTGTACATTCTATAAATAAGGCCACTCAATGAGAGCTTCTAAAAATAATTTTAATTCAGTGGTCAAATAAAAATTTGTTTCCTCCTATACTTAGCAGCTAGTTTGACCTGCAATTCAGAATTTGGATTCAAATTTTCTTCCCTTTTCCCCTTTCACACTTAAGTATATTTAAAAAAAAAAAAAAAAAAATCTACCAGAGGTTCAACTCAAGAAAACATTCTGACTTGCTTCCAAGTGGGTTTTAGAAAATACTGCCCAAGAAATTGACATAAAACTAAATAATTTACGTTACATATTTAACTACATAAACATTTTAACCAAATGTGTTTACGCAGGCTAATCTCAGATCACCACATACTACTTACAGTCTTTGCAAATAAATACCTTTTTGATTAGAAATGTTCACTTTTTAACCATTTCTTGCCCCTTCGCTCTCACAGTTGATATTTCATAGCCAGTTTTCTAGGAAAAGGTTTTCCAAAGCTAAAATCTCATGTCCTTTCTATTTGTTCTTCTGGATTAATTAATGCAGTCAGTAAGCAACATATTTGTGTGCGATGTAGCTAATGGTTCATATTTAAGTAACCCAGAACCTTCCCTATAAAAGCACAAAAGGCAAACAAACGCGTTTTCTTTATTATGGCAATAATACTTCAAGAGCCTTCAAGATGGTGTCTGTGTTTCAGTTTATAGGAAAAACTGCACTGTGCCTGCAACAGCAAATTCTCTTACCATCTGCAAAATTATCATTTTCACTTCAAAACAGTTTTCTAAAACCTGGAAAAATCTCTCAGGAACTTTAGTCAACTAATTACTTCTGCAATTCAAGGTTTAATTTTTTCCCGTCCCTCATTCTGAGCCAAGTCAGAATAGAGCAATTTAAATAAATACTAAAGCAAGGTTAGAAAAGAAGAAACTCAAGGAGATACAAACTTCCGATGCAGGCTTTTTTAGCTAACAGATTTGTGGCAAAACAAGGGTTATTCAGAAGTACCTGCTATGCAGAAGGGTTACCAATATTTCAGAGACACTTAACTCCATAATCCCTAGAAGCATACAGGATGAGGAATATTTATGATCTAGCCACTTCCAGCAAATCAATATATAGATATAGATGACCTTCAAGTACCATAAATAAGTCCTCTCCTCCACACTCATTTACAAAAATGTGAATCATGTATTACATAAAACTTTAATTGGAGTCTACTCCCCAGCTTGGCAGATGAAATCTTTCTTTCACTCCTTGTTTGTTCATTTCAATCACTAGTTTCTCTTCCTCTGCTCACGGCACCTTCGTTACACCAAGGTGAGGGGCTGAGCCAGCTGCACACCAGCAGGCCAAGAATTCATTTAGTTCTTCTCAGTCCTGAGCTAAGATGAGCAAAAAGCGCTGCTATTTGGCAGTCCGGGGGCCCTATGGATAGATCCAGGGTTTCCCTTTCCCCACCTTCATCAGACATCCCTACTGACTAAAGAAGAGGGAGAGAGGGTGTTCAAGCACCAAATAGATGCTAAAAATTGGGAAGGGGCAGTTTCTGATGCAGAATTTCAGCATTAGTGTCCCCCCCTGGTGCTGAGGGTAAGTCAAGTCTGGTGGCTCCAAGAAGATTCTGGAGCAACTGTGTTCATCTAAAACGATGATGATATTTGGGAACACTATTCCTCCCTTTAGAAATGGTATGGTCCCATACCATTTTTTTGTGTTCAAGATCAATTAGTAAAGCATGTGAAAGAACAAGACATAAAAGCAACATAAAGTCAGTTGAGACAGGCTCTCTTACCAGTCAAATATCATAAAGGTAGAGGCATAGGCACATGAAGCAAAAGCATCAGTTCCTGAGTTTCACAGCAATAATGAAAAACTGCTGTGGTCCCTTTCTGAAAGCCTAGCTGGCGCAGCCAGACTGGAAACTACATCTGGATATAAAAAAATAAATACATCTGGATATTAAAAAACCCCATATTTTTAAACAATTCTGAACAAAGAGAATGTTTCTCCATCAACACCCTATTGTAATTGCTATGGTAATCCATATTTACATGATATTCTGCATTCAGCACGCAGATACCAAGATGCAGTAACACAGGAATGGATCCAGCAGTGCCAAGGATTAGCTGCAGTATATGCCTAAAGAAAAGGGCTTTACAAGAGGCAAAGGATCTTCCTCAGAGAAGATCAGTCAACCTGCAGTGAGACCAACAGTCAGGTCTGTTGGTCAACAGGCAAGGAAGTCCAGTCTGTAGCACAACTGGACTGCTCCCATTAGCAAAGAACCACCCAGGTGCACCTTTTTCCCTTTTCAATCCAGTAATTGGTTCACTCAAAGCAGCTGACAGTCAAACAGAAAAACTGAATCACATTGTTTTACTTTAAATGTGTATGGATCCCCATTTCCTTCAAACAAATTCTCTGGCATCAGTCAGGTTCCAAGGAGCTCATGTGCAAGTACCACAGTACACCAGGCATGACCGCTGCGGACCCAACAGAGCAGTCAGATGTTAAACAGACCCTGGGGCCATCTTTGTTGCCCAGCTCTGTGTCGGAGTCTTATAATTTGAAAAAGTCACTATAAAGAGAAGCAGATTTAAGAGGTTTACTTTTATAGCTGATACTGAATAGCCTACATGACCAAGGAGAGCAGACCATCTGCCATAGGTCTACAGCAGCTGAAGCCACATAGCACTACAGCTGTCAACGAAGAGCACCACGTTATGGTTTTGTGGTGTGAGTCTCACAGGGAACCACAGCATTTTACCCCTGCCTCCAAGATAATTGGTGTTGGATTAAAACATTACAGAACAGTCAAAAAGAGATTGATTGGTTTTAATTATGAAGCCTTATATGCAGAAACTGAGAAGTACTTGACAGATTGCCTAGCCCCCAAGCTTGTCCAAGAAATTACTTACTGCTTCACAAGGTTCCCCACTGGTATTGCCTAAAATATTAATTTAATTACCATGCAGCCAATGTGTTTTGAAGGATTAAAAGGAGAAGTAAAATAAAAATAAAAATAAAAAAAACAAAAACAAAAACCAACAAACCCACAACACCAAGAAAACCCCACAAAACCACCAAACCACAACAAAACAATAAAAAAACTGCAATGGAAGTATCTGTAACCTCAATAATTATGACCTTGACATCCTATTAAATCAGTTGTGAAATTGCTTGTCAAGACCCACCACACACACATTATCACACATAACTTCTCATCAGAAATACTTCAACCTTTGCCATTTTTATGAATCTTCATTGTGTACAGTAATACCAGTCACATAAGGGTAGTTATCCCTCCCTAAGCACTTACAGCACTGAAAGGCAGCATCAGAGTAGTTCCAATATCCCAACCACAGGATGCAGAGGCACTGAGTTTAAGCCTCAAACGAGGCTTTTATCATACCTGCACCAACCAGATGTTGAATCAGGCTGTTTGAGCCAGGGTATCAAAAAGAGCTAAACATAATCCCCATGAGCAAGACTGGCAAGAGAAACTGTCCTGATTCAACCACAGTGCCCAGATCACACTCTAATACTTGGTCCTGATGGCTGGGATATTTTGGATTTATGATGACTATGTAGAAATCCCAAACTAGTGTATGCAGATAATTTCCTAATGAAAAATTAATGCTGTCAATTTTGAAAACATTTCTTTCCAAGAAGGTGTCAAATGAAACACCATAAAAACCTAATATATGAATCTCTAAAGCTCACACATACTGTTCAATCTGCTCTAAGAAAGAAAAGGCTCATTTACCTGTAGTTTTTGTTCATCTTCCACACCTTGCAGGCCTGACAGACGGTGCTCAGCCTCATCCAGCCACTTCATTAGACTGTCATGCTCCTTCTTATACTGGGAAAACACTGGAGAACATTCCACCACCTGCCTCCTTTGAAATGACCTGCACTCCTACAATCCAGTGTATTAGGAAGATACGGTATAAGAAGAGGGAAGTAGTGAACAGAATAGGTCTTATTTATTTGTAAAACAAGAATACTCAAGGGATTACATTTCAGGAAGCAAATTCCAAAATATGCAATAGTAGCCTTTTTTTTCTTTTAAATAGCTATAGTCTATTTATCTGCACAGGCATGTAATCAAAGCCAGCCTGAGAGTCTTATCCTGCCTTTGAGCTACATCTCACCTTACCAAGTCTAATATGATTCAAATAGATGAGCTAAAAGGAATACAAGAATACAGATCCCCTTTGTTCTACACAAAAACAATTTTAATATGGCATGTGTATGACAGCACCACAACATACTGGAGTCCACAGTTGCTTATAATACCCTCCATAGGAAGCAAGAGGAATTCAGGGGCAGACTCATGTTCACACAAACCTCTTCTGCTGAGAACTCACAAATACACTTGTGTGTGTGTCTATGTAGTCACTCTTCACACAGCCTGGTGGTGGAGACAAACTTCTGCTAAAGGGCCAGCAAAGACAAGTGAAGCAAATGCCCAGCTGAGTAAATACATATAGGGTGGCCCTCTGTGAAGCTGTGAAAAGGACTTTAAAAATCAAAACCATTCTCCCACAACTCTGGAATGACAAAATTCGTATTCAGGAAGTCCAAAGACTCAGTGTCAGACCATGTGTATGCACATTTAACTCTTCCCCAGAGAATCTTATACATTAAAAAATTCATAACCAGGTCATGGGATACCAAAGGGAAGACTACATAAACGAGCTTTAACTATAGTATCTATCATAATCGTACCTGAACACTGTTGTACTTCTTTTGCAGAAGTAACAGCTGTATGCGGATCTTCTCTCTCTTATGGTCCTCCATAGGCTGCTGTAACAACTGCCCTCCTCTCTGTAAAACTTCTTCAATCTGAGCTCTTTCTTGATCCAGCTAAAATTACACAAGTCTGTATTACCTACAGAAAGCTCAGCTATGGTTTCCAAAATGAATTTATTTACCTGCTCAGATGTTAACAGTAATGGTACCAAACTGTTGTTTTATTTTCCAATGTGAGCCAAACAAATTCAAGCAGAGATTCTCCTCCACAACTACCAAATCCTAAAATCCAACTTGGGCATTCCATAAACTTCATAAAGAAATGGCCTGCAGGAAGCTCACTAATGAGCCAACAGTAGGCAACCACAGCAAGAGGGGGCTATGACCTCAGCTCCATTTCTGTTCTAAGCATTACTTGACAATAATAGGCAAGGCCAGAGCAGAATAGCAAGAAAACAAAAACAAAATAAATATAAACACAGCACAAAGAGAAGCATATGTTTTATAACAAGAGGTCCTTCCATAGAGGCCTTTTAAAATTTGATTTCGGTAGTATATATGCCATTTTCCATAGACTTATATTCAGCTTTCCAGCTCAGTTTATAACATTTCATATGCTTAAAAGGAAGGCAGATAGGGTGGCCTGGCAGGACTCCACCCAATTTTGTAGCCAACAAGGCTATTGTGGACAAGATACAAACAGAAGTATGACAGTTTTATACAGGTGAATAGCAGAGCCTAGATAAGAATCTAGAAATAGATAAATTTTGTTCCAGGTTCTTATTTGGAGTTGCTATGAGCATTATTACAACACTCTTACTTGCTCCTCATCTCACAAGCGTCCACTGACCTAACCCATGCACTGTGATTCAATATATCATACCAGTTTAAATTTAAAGTAAAAAAAAAAAAATCTACCAAGTGCAATAGATTAGAGGCCTGAAATTGCCAAATACACAGTCTCAGCTGCATTAAGTAATCATTTTAATGTAAGTTCAGTCACTTAGATATGAAGAAATTAAAAACCAGTTTTACACCCTCTTATTTTTAGAGGAAGGATTCCTTAAAAACAGCTCCTTTGTATAGAAGAGAGAAGATAAACGAAAATCAAAGTTCACAACTCGAATTGTATAAAACTATGATGAAAATACAGACTGATGTTACTCTCAATGCACCAGCCAAGAGGCAGCAGCTATGGGAAAACTGTGCAGTGTATCCAACAACCTAGTAATTCCCTTCATTTTCTACTCCCGTCTTAAAAAGATTTTCTCAGAAGAATTCCCTCTCAAAGTCTGGAGGAATGTAACATGTTGACAGAACAGAAAGGGAGTTAGTTATTTAATTCTTCCATTGTTCACAAACCTTTTCATCTTCCCCACTCAGCTCCAGATGCTTTTCCACAACTTTTAACATATTCTGTATGTCACAGTCAAATTTTTCCAGATCTGGAAAAGCCACTCTAACTTCATGGGGCTCTGACATGACAGGAAGTCGTTCTTGTCCAACAAGCAACTGCAAAGGAAAATAAAACTTTGTTCAAGCTGAAAATTTAGTATGAGCTGTCACACACAGTTTAATGATTTAAACAAATTCTCCATGAGCAGGCATACCAGTTTGTAGGACCATCAGATATCAGCATTAACAAAAATTGCAAGAGTTGTTTGATCTAACACAGAGTTAGCTTGGACACAGTGTTGACAGTATTAGCAAGCTTCTACCTTCAAACTTCAATCTCAGCATCTTGGTCTCAAAAGAAACATCTCCAATCACATTAGCTTACGGTGTTGTTCTGTAGTTCATATTTATATGTACTGCAATACATATATTTTCCTGTGTCTTAATAACACAGTTATTTGTAAATTTTTCCCTTGCAACTCAAGTCATCACCTGCTACTCAGGTAAAAAAAAAGCAGTTGGTCTAAAATCAGTTGGTCCATTTTCACATATAAATATCTACACTTAAAAGACAATCAAACACAGCAACGTGCTATTCTAACAAATATCTACCCCCTAAAGCTATTTGCCATCATTTTGGCATAGACCCACCCCCCCAAGCATGTTTTGGGGATTGTTCATCCTCACCTTGGCACTTTTGATGTGCTGAGAGACCTTCTCAAAGTTACGGTTCAGTTCTGCCAGTTTGGGTTCAACAAGTTCACGGCATGACACCCCCCGACCATTCATTAGGATGATAGCCTGATCACGCACATTATCCACTCGAAGACTAACATCATCTAATTCAGATGTTAAGCGCTAAGAAGTGAAAGAAAATGCAAATGGTTACCCTAGGAAAGGAAAAAATATTAAAAAAAAAAAGCAGCAAACCTGATGACTGCATTTAAAATCCAGAAGTGGTTACCTGACAGCAACATTTCTTACCTTCACAGTTTCCTCTTTTTTGCTTGCTGATTTTTTCTCAATTTCATCCAGCAAGGCCTCAGCCTGATACAACCAAGTACTTATGTGGGCAACATTTTCGTCAAAAATCTCCAGCTGGCTCTGATGATTCTGGAAAAAGATGGGAAAAAAGTATCAATGTGAGAAACAAACAAACAAAAAAATCCACATAAAACCCCAACAAAAAAAACAAAAACACCCACACAAAAAATCCACACACCAAAAAAAATCCTGCCAAAACCATCACTATGAGTAAAAAGGAGGTCAATGGAATAAAATGTTACGGATAGACGTTGGAAAGGAACATTGAAAATCAGATTGTACCTTTCACCTTCAATAAGTATTTACAAGAATTTGATTTTCATTCTGGACCCTTTGATATTATGGTTCCTAATTCACAGAAAGGGAAACAGAACTACCTGATGTGGTTTGTCCAACTAAAAGACAGACAATGTATTACAACATTACAGCCAGATCACACCTCAGTCCACCAAAAACACCACGTTTTTTTCAATTATCACTAGCAGATACAACAGTATGCATTATGTGCGGTTATTGTGTGTGTTTTTTTTTAATTGAAAGTGGATTACACCAAAATCTATAAATTATAATAGTCAGTTTTGATATTTTACTGATTACATTAAAATATTTCTTCCTCTTAATAAGTCACCACATTGTAGACATGTTAATTAGGTCTGCTTTCATATGCAGTCAGAAATTGTAACATTAGGTGCCACAGACAGAAACAACATATTATTCTGTGTGACCAAGCAAAGCTATCAGGTTCAGAGAAATACCATCCTGCTTAAGCACAGAGCTCCTTACCCAAAACAGCAAGGTAGCTAAGATTTCATCTTTTAGACTAACAAAACAAAGGGAGGGGAAGAAAGAGACAGAAGGCCCAGGATTGCTCTCTATACCAACATCAAGAAACATACCTTCACCTAGCAAAAGAATAATTTAACTTAACAAAGTTAGCACAAGAACAATACTCATCACCAAACATGAACATAATTCAGAAGGTTTTTAGTTGTGGATCACCCTTACAGCATTTACAAATCAGGGTAAATTACCTGACTAGTCCCAACATGGACATCATTGGATTATGAAACAAACAGTATAACCTGCAACAGGCACTGGACAGGATGCACAGGGCTCACCGCCTAAGTATACAGGAAAGTTTCAACAATTTCGGCGCATATCAGGGGCTTCTGAAGGTGGATTGTCATAACTAGCTGAATAACACAGAAATACCTTAACTATCTGAAAACTTCAGTCTGATACTAGTATCAACTGTAGACTGTTTCATGTCCATTTAGCAGAACTTGCAGCTTTAGGCTGTAAAATACGCTTAATCTTCCATTTACTCAGCCAAACAGATGCTGTTGGCCTCCACTCTGAGTTGGCATACTCTTAAACACTTGCAGTTACAGGCTGTCTGAAAGAGCAATAGGCTGACAGAGGGTCCCAAGTGCTTTGCTGAACACCACTAGTAAGTTACCAATTGTCTATTAAAGAGCCATCATCGGGGTCTTGAGGAACTCAATCAACACAAAAATGCTTTGTTCATGCTGGAGCTGGCACAGAGGTTTCTTTCAGGCCGAATAGAGCAGTACACGCAGCCTCATGGAAACCAATCCTTCTGGGCGAGTTCTTTTTGTTTTCTACTTACATTAATAAATTCATGAGCTTATAGAAAGTTACAGAAGAAACCATAAGATCCAACTTTGGGGCTCTAATTAACATGTTATGAAACAAACACTTCCTGGTGTGTTTTTCCCCCCTCATTTTAATCTGGCAAAATCAACTACTACCAGTTAATGAGTAAACCCACTGGCAGTTTTATGAATGCTTGTATGCCCCATAACCCACTTACTCTATGTGCAATGGTAGATGCCCACTTTCAGGATTCTTTAGAAAGTTACTTCTATGCACTAGGGTAGCAAGAATTGTATTAAGAGATAAACAACAAGTGGACATAAAAGGCTACCGGTATTGGTGTAGCAAAAGAGAAAGTGGTAAAACATTAAGAGGAAAGAGGGAAGGGGAGATAAATTTGTAAATAAGGACAAAAGATTAAAAATGTAATGGGATGGCACATAAGCAGAGGGCTGGGGGGGATTTAAAGAGATTAAAACAACAGATGTGTGAAAGGTGTTCACTAAGGATATTCTGGATTTTCTACAAAAAAAGAGGAATTACATCACAAAGTCTAGGGAGAGTAAAAACCCAGAAAAGAGTCCTAGCACTGAAGACAGGAGAAAGAGAGAGGCAAAAGAAAAAAGTTAAACCTAGTTTTATTCTCTACACCTAAACAGGTTATTCCCACTAGGTCAAGTTAACCGTCTGCCTAGGATATTTACAGAGCTTCATCACTCTCACATACAGATTCCGCATTTTCATCTCCTATCCACTGAGCAACAGCCACTACTACCAAACACGTGGCACCATTGTTTACCTAAATCAGCACATCTAAAACACCTGCAAAACAGTTTCCCACCTTCTTCATTGTATATAACTCACCTCTCCATCTACAGAGTAACCAGATATACATTCTACATCCCTTAAAGTCCAGGAGGCACCATGGAAGCTTCACATCACAGCCAAGTGAGACAGGTAAAAACTGCAAACACGCCAAGGGTGTAGAGGGAGAACCACCCTGAATATTTCTTACATGTGCAACTTACCAACAAGGTGTCACACCAGTCCTCGGTCCAGGTCCGAACTCTGCTCCAGCCAGCATTAAGGACACACAGCTTCTCATCCAGGGAAGTCTCACTCCCTTCCACCAGAGCCTGGAGCGCAGTGCAGCTTTCAGTGATACTCTTCAGATCGGCTTTCCTCCTTTCCAGCTCTCGTAGCACATTCTGAAACAAGAGGAACCATTAACACTGCATGCTGCTCCCAATCACAAGGGCAAGGGAGCCAGATTTTTACCTCCACAGGAAGCAAATAGTATCATAGATGATTTTGACTTGAAAAAAAACCAAACCAATTAGAATCACCCTCTGTTTATACTCACTCTCTGTAGATAGTGATCTCTTCTTTTTGAGAGAGCACAAGAACACAATGCATGCAAATGTCCTGAATAACTTAGCTTGAGACCTTTGTTTTGTTGTTCACAGTTGCTTTTCATTATGTGGGTAAAGTAAACGCATCACATCACATTATAGCTCCAATTTTAAAAGGGTCTTTTCTGCACTGTTAAGCACCACAGAGAATGCAATTTTCAAGAGACACTTTGTATTTTTCTGTATCTTTTCATATTAAAAGTACTTTTACAGTTGACAGCGAGAGAAGTGGTAGGCCAAGGCTGAATGGTTTTTTGAGAACCACCATGACTCATTACTGCATATGTTCAATTCACTTGCTATATAGTACAGAAGCCCTACTGTTACATTACCTATACATAGATATGTAAATACACGTATCTTTAGTTTTAACTTTTTTTTTCAAGTAATCTCTGATTTTAAATAGGTTTTTTAATCTAAAAATCAAATCACCTTCTTTGAAGAAATGCATACTGACATACAAATTAAGTAATATGTAATCTCTTGAATATCAGTATATGGTTTCCATGTGGAAAATAGCACCTCTTGCCATACATCATCACCGATTATTGTGTGTAACATCTGGCCATTTAGAAAGCTCTTTGATGTCCGTAGTGTACATTGGAAGAATGCAGTTGATCAAAAGTACTGTCTGGAGCTCCTTGAACATCTTAGTATCGGTGAAGTAATTTATTATTTTTTCATACCTTATTATCTTAGAGACAGAAACAAATACTCAAGTTACTACATTTTAAAATTGCCTCTAGAAAGCCTTAAGACAGGAAGGACAACTTTGCAAGCAACATAAAGGGCTTGTCCTCCTGGTGGCACAGCGTAAGAGTTCATGAACTATTTGCATTGCTTACAAATGTATAGTATGTATATTTCAATAACTATTTACAAGCTTGTTTGGAAAGAAAACTTAGGGATACGGATACTGCCACAGCGGAAGTGTAGTGCTAATAATTACTAATCCTGAGTGAAATGGGTGAGGACAGGCTATATTTACTTGTTTTTGTAAGGTTTCAAGTTTTAATATTGTACACAGACCTATTCCAAAAGTTATAGGTGCCAGAAAACAATGACTGGAAGGATCAATATTACTGAACTGTATCAACTGACACTTGTTGCTAACTCCAACTATTACATATACAAGTTTCTACAGTGTGAGAAAATAGATGCTTTGCTTCAGAATAATTATAACACATTCGTCTGCTTACATGAAAAGTTCCAATTTATAGATGAAAGAATAGGAATTACAGGAGCTTTTTGATTTTCAAAGTCACAGTTTTGAAGACAAAGCTGTTTCAATGAAGAGTTATAAACTCAAATTTTCATTAAAATGTCAATGAACTTTCACTTTGCTCTACTAAAATCCCCAAATTATATTTGCTGATAATTAAGAATATTAAATTATACTGTATCTCTAACGCAGTTCATAAGTAAGTCACTTAAATACCTATTAATACCAAATATAATATTTCACTGGCCATTTAAGCCTGAGGCAAGATGCCCGAGACGAAACAGATCAGACTCAGCAAGGTACTGAATATGATCTACAGAATCTACTAAAATTTCATGATGTAAGAGATTTAGGAACAAGTTACAGGGATTTAAATTCATATCCACTTCTACATAGTATTGCCATAACATTAAAAATTTATTCTACAGATATTTAGAGTGTGCCTACTTTGGCCCAGGCAATTTCTGAATCTAGATCAGAAAGCAAGCTCTCTGAAGTGGACTTCTGCACAAGCTCAGCTTCAGTGGTAGATAGCCACTCTGACAAAGAGGCAGCCTCTTTCCTCATTTTGCGTGCCAGCTGGGATGCTCTTTCAAGGTCTTGTTTTCCTTCTGTCACCTACAAAAAAAGAAAAAAGAAAATAAAATTGGGTTTTTAAAAGATAGCAAAAACCAAAGTGCTAGCCAGCTAAAATTTCCAGCCAAATATATAAAATCTTTGCATTTGAAGATTGTCTTGCATTAGGGAAGGAACCTGAAAAAAAAATCGTTTATAAACATCTGCATCTTACTATATAAAACAGACTATATAAAACTAGAATAATTTTAAATTAAGATACACTTAAAGGAGACAAAGAAACCTACATACCAACTTATTTATAGCTAGTAATCACCAAACTGATGTTTAAATTTTATTATGATCCATTAACAAACTCAAGCAGGATACAGAATCCAGTCAGTAACTCACACAGGTAAAATTCAGTTCCTTTTTGTATTTTGATAGACCTGCTAGCAGAAAGCTGTAAAGAAAAAATTCACTGAAAATCTAGTCTGCCCTTGAAAACATCTCAGTAAAGTGAACATGAAATTTGATGTTTACTTCAGTATAATCAATGCTATTTCATACTGGCTACACAATTAGTCTGGTCAAACTTTAACACAGACTGGAGAATAAATCCAACCATAGCAGTCAGAATCAATTGACATTTTGAAAAATTGCCCTCTGTCTCAGCTTAGTGTTTGCATGTATTTATTCAAAATAATGCGCTCTTTGAAGACCTAAAAAAACAAATACAGACACGAACAAAATCATAACATTATACTGCAAATAACTCTGCCTTTCTACCCTTCCCCAATTTCTTGTCTGCGTGCTTTCTGAGTTATAGATGTACAGGTTCCACTAGAAACCACACCTTCATGAATGTTCTCCACTTCACAACAATAAAATATTTTCAGGGCCCATTTCAAGATATTCTAACAATGTCATCTGGTCACTTACCCATAGCTTCATTCACAGAGCACCGAACAGGCATGAGTCTGTTAATTTAGGTAGGAAAAGAATCCCCTATTTACCCCCTACTCCTTTAAGGATTTAACCAGTTTTAAACGCTTCACTTGGATAATAACTATTCAATTACTAAGAAAATTACTCAAATCAATATTTAATGGAATTTATGGGAAATACAAGTTTGCCTGCATTTTCTATTTCATACCAAGAGCAACCCTTTAGATGGATTATGATTAGAAACCATCATGACACCTCCTAAAAAATTTACATCGACTCAAACTTCTCATATGACAATCTGATAGTAAATTATCTTCCTTCCATTCAGGAACACTCTGTGAGCACAGGGGTCTTGCACAGCCACAGGATTGTTACATGTAATCTTTAATCTCTCAACCGATTGCTCCTGGATGTAGCAACTAGCCTTTACAGTATCAGCTTCAGAATCAAACTTAAAACAGCATCTGACATCAAAACAACAAAGAAGGGAATTTATATGCAGACAAATGCTCAGAGGTACATTTGGTTTTCTCACCTGTGCCCCCAAGTCATTGTAAAGAAATTTCAGTGCCGTCAGTTGTTCATCCATCCCTTTGGGATTATCTGTCTGTTGTTTCTGTACAATTTGCCTTCCTGTTTTGATGACGGTTTCAACCTCCAATTTCACCTCACTGAGGGTTTTATAGAGTTTCTAAAAACAAAAATATGTATATTGGTGATCAATTTGTAGTGCAGATTTTCAGACTTTGCTTCATTTGGGGACCCGATCATCAAGTTGCACTTAAAATCTGAGCTATGGATTAAAAGCAATGTCTGCCAAGATTTCAAACTCCTGATGTTCCATATTTTATTCCAGTTTTCATTTTCGCCCAAAAAAAGTATTATCACAATAATTTTGCAGTGTTTACTCCATAACATCACCACATGTGGCAAGGCTAACGTTATCTGAACTTGATCTTATGTATAGTATTTGTTTTGTTCAAACACTAAGAATCAAACAAACTTGCCCCTCGAGTGATGCTTCTCCATAACATGAGTATGATCCAGGGAAAGAAGTTTTTATAAACTCAGCTGTTCCACCACATCTGTGATCAACAATCCACTACTTTTTTTATCCCCATTCTCACCCAGAAGAATTAGAGGTTTTTAGTTATCATTTCTTTTGTTGGCATTTTGCAAAGAGTTGTAACAGTTCCATCAAGACTTTAAGCAAAATTTCGTCAGGAGAGAGTTTAGGCAAGAATCACACAATAAAGAAACACTCCCAAGCATGAGTTAAGAATATTGCATACTTACCATGCACCTGTCCAAATGAGCTTGGATTACATCTGGATCAGTATCCTTCACATCCAAGACATGAAGTTCCGCTTTTACGCCATCCAACACCCGCTTGCAATCCAACATGCGCTGCTCAAAATTGGCTGGTTTCTGGAAAAGCTGATACTTTGTAGATACTTCACGGAGTTTTCTCTGTTTTAATGAATATTGTGTTAAAAGATTGTTTTAAATTAATATCTGCGCTTCACAAAACAACATTTAAAGCATCTCCCCCCACAGAGTCTAACTCACCTCTCATGCCACTGCAACTCAGTATACATAGCAAAACCATTTGCCAAGCCAAATTCCATCCTCTATTCCTAATGCCCACCTGAGGTGCAAAAGTGCTATAATCCTGTATCATATACTTTCAAAATATCCTCTCTACTAAAATACAGAGACTTTCTGACTTTCAGCATTTATCCCGTGATACTTATGAAATTTAAACTTCCTTATTCAATTCTTCTAGAGTTGCTTGTTTCCTAATGCATGTCAAAGCATATCCTATCTACTTTTGAGGTTCGGTCAACCACAGCAAGCAATTTACAGGCTGACAACAGCAGTGTATAATTGAAAACCAGAACCTCTTCACATTTAAATCATTACTGCAACTCTCATATTTTTACCTGCAAAGCATCCAGCTGACTTCCACCACGGGGAGATCTGCATTCAGGAGAAGCAGGAGGGAAAGCGCGAGCACTTTTCTTGAGCTCCTCTAAGGTGGATTCATGAGCTGCAATTTCAGATTGAATTTTCTGCCACGACATAAAAACAGGCAAAAAAGAAGTTTCAAAATTGCTTGCAGAGAGCGAAAGAGAAACTTGGCTTACCACCTACTACCCACCAGAAGTAAATCCACTCTGTAAAAGTTAAGTACTACCAGGTTTATTTTGAATATTCCAGCTCTGGTGGCAGCTTGCTAAAATGAAAGCCATTAAGATTGTCATTCAATACAACCTTCTTAAAACAGGAGAACAATCCAGATTACAGAAAATATCAACTACCACATCAGGACAGGAGTGAAATGAAGCATTCATGAGTTACTAAGTCTAGGCTGAGCACTATCATGAGATATTTCAAAATGTTTTGTAGTGAAAAGCTATACTGGAATACCTGGGCCTCCTGAGGCATCTGAAAGGCATCTACCCTATCAGTCAGGTAAGATGTCAGCTGTCTATCCAGCTCCACTAAGTTTTCCTGCAAGACCTGCAACATGTGGTCGGTTTCTCTCATGGTTTGAAGCTGCTGTTCCAAGGCGATCTGCCGGCTCACTGCCTAAGTGGGACAGAAAGACAAGACAAGACAGAGCAGTAAGTCAATAGGAATTATATCAACCTTTCTCAAACCAAAGTGGGAGAAACCCAGAAAAATCCTGTGCCAGGCAGACTGTCTAAAAAAGAGCCAAAGCGAGCCCTAGAAGGCAGCAATTTTTGAAGCCTGCTGTGATTCATACCAGTAACTGACAACAGTGGAATAGGAGAGTTCTGCTGCTAGGTATACAGGATACTGAAAAGATGTCTCTCTTACCACCTCACGAAGAAAGTATTCTGTTAAAAACATACCAGTTTCATAAACTAGTTATTCAATAGGAATCAGGGACTTTGTAATACACTAGAAATCAATATTGTTTGATGTGTAAGCTTACACATTTTCTTTCAAAACAATAAAATCTGTCTTTCTGTTACAGTGTGAAAACAGAGGTTCACAGTCCCTTCCCTCCATTGCCTCCCCCTTCAACAGTAAAACTTTTAAGTTCTTCTGAAATGTCACTACTAGTATGGGAACACAAATTCCCCACTATCAACACATGCACAGACCAGTGGGTGTGTACATATACACACACAGAGGTGGAAAGTTGTCAACAGCCCAGTGTGTCAGCACTGAAGCTGCCAAAGCAGATAGTTTTTATATGGCAATAAAGTACTGTTGTAACAGGAAAAACAATAGTGCATGCTAACTTAAATGACAGCACACAGCCCCCAGCTGAGGGCACTGCATTCATGTTGCTCACTGTAATGAGGATGAACTGAAATTCCCTCTATGACTACACTTTGGCAGTGACAGGAAAAACCTCCCATCCTACAATTTGTCAGGGGTCTGTATTACCAGGATACAGAACACAAGTTACAGATTTAGGTAACCTGAAATATAGCTAGTATTCCTCTACTTATTAAATCTAGAAAAGATTAGACTGAAGCATGAAAAAAGGAAGGGGACAACATAATAGATGGGGGATGAGAAGAATGTCTTCCCTGTTCCTTATTTCATTGTGACTTCTTCCTATTTCAAAGGGTGAACATGTCACTTATTCATGTTCCTCATTTTTACAGTTAGTGAGCAGCTCACCAGTATTTACGGCAGTAGGAACAGAATATTAACCTCAGTTATTGAACTGTCCCCCTTGAGATTGAAATTGCTTTTTTGTCAAAATTACCTGGAAAAATACCAGGGCATCCCCACAGTGAAAGGGTGTGCAAGAGTGCAAAACAAAACCTGACTCAAGTCAGGGGGGAAAAACAAAACAAAACGCAAGCATCTTGCTCTTAGGGCATTATTCTAAATTGAAAATGGCTGACAACATTTTGAAGGTTTTTCCTCTTTTCCTGAATTGCAGTCCTGCATCTATGAATTCAGCTGTCTAACAGGAATCATTTCAGACCACTGAGCTGGAAAAAAAAAAACCCAGGCTACTTCAACCATGCCCCCAAATTCTTACCAAGTGACTCAATTCCTCATAGTGGGCATTGAAAGCCTCCAATTTTTCACTGATGATATCATCAAGAATCCCTCCATCAATCAGTGTCTGTCCAAGTTCCCGAATCTGTGTTCGATTATCAGCTGGATGACGCAGGACTGATTCCAGGGACTAATTAGCAGAGAAAGTTTTAAAGGTCAAGACACTGAATATTACTGCATTTTCAGAGGTAGAAATCTGGCTGCATGCACAGAAGTTTTACCCTTCATATGTCTTGAGAGCGCTCTAAAAGCTTGAATTAGTTATGGTTTAATCCATGATGGCACAAGGCAAATACAGTGGTCATTTTGCTTTAGATAATTAAACTTCACAGCACTTCTTACCAATTCACATCATTTCATACTATAGTGCTAGAAGGAATTAATCAATTTGACACAGGACAGGACAAAGCACACAATTTAATCATGGTTCCAATTATGGCACAATCAAGCACAGCAAAATTCAGCTTTTGGTGGAGGATCTTACAAATACCCATTCCAGATTCAGAGTAATATGTTCATTTAACCTGAAGAATCAGAATATTCAACACATATTTCAATATTCTACTGAAGTGTAGAATTTATGGGGTTTTATACAGAGCGATCTGAAAAGTTACTAATCTGATAGAATGACTACAATACCTCAAGAGCATCATTGACAGCATCCAACTTATCAGGCAGATTTTCTGTCATTTGCACCCTTTCTTCCAGATTGTTTAGCCAAGCTGTTTCTAAATCAAGATAATGAAGCAGCTCAATCCAGCAGGACCACACCTCCTAGGAGCAACAGAAAAAAACATAAATTAGCCTAGAATGCCAGGTACAGTTCATATACCCTATGAAGACCTTAAAATTCTGTTTCTGAGACACTGACCTAAAGTAGGCAAGTAGAAAATATTCAAAAACATGCCATGGCACAGTAACTTCTAGACAGAAAAATCTGCAACTATAGCAGCAAGATAAAAAGAAATATGCAAAATACACATAGAAGTTTCTAAACTCATGCTAAAATTATCACTGACATCTAGATCCTTATAATGATTTAAGAATGTAATAAAATGCATCCACTCCTCTTGAAAGACAGGACATACAAAACCTACCGCAAACTACAATCAACATGTCCTAATTATCATCATATTTCAACCTTTAATCTCTGAGAAGTGCCTCTTTGTCATTTTGGAAGACGCCTGGATGGATAACAGAGCCATGAGACAAAGTAACTTATTTGCACAAGTGTTGATTACAATACAGATTATAAAAGCAAAGTTAGATGGTGTCTTATGAATTCCAAGGATGTCATCTCAAGGGAAAGTAATCTCAGAAAGGAGCCACAGCAAAATGTGTTTATGCTGAAGCTACTGGATTCAGTGACAAAAGTGGACATTTGCAGTGTCCTTCCCCATTACTCTTGTGCCACCTGCCTCCATTTTACTAAGCTGAGAGCTATCATTCTTACTTCCAAAGTGTGGCATTTCCCCCGGATCCGATTGCACAGTAGCTGGTAGTTCTCCAGCACAATGTTCAGTTCAGTCGCCAGGTCCTGACCACTAGACGGCACTTTGGCGGCTAACATCTTGATGTTGTCTCTGAGAATCTTCACCCGCACCTCTTTCTGCAACACATCCTCCTTCGCCCTCTGCCCAAAGAAATGTATTACACAATCAGCCCTCAATTGCTGTACAGTCAACTATTCACTACTCAAACCAAAGATCAGCAGTTTAACCTTGGAAGTATTGCTGCCAAAGTTTTCTTGGGTCTAAGGACAACAAAATATGGCACTAACTTGCATGGAATTCAGCTTATGTTAGTAAGTGTTGAAAAATCCTGTTTTATTAAACATACAGACATACCTACCATTTATGTTTTTTTCATTAAAAATCCATGACTCAAGGCAAAAAATACTAAGTTCAATGCTATTTATATGCTAACATAGATATGAAAAAGAGAAATGAGCCAGAAAAAAAATAGAGGTTTGCTAAAAACAAGCATATCAGGGAGAAAAAGGTAAGGTGAATTTACAGACATTATGAGTCCCAGAGCCCAGTAACTATCCTGCAAAGTTATCCAGGAAAGATAACGTAATTACCTGGGATACATGCAACTACAAAGTTGGGATTTTTCCCAGCAGTTGTTAGGTACGCTAGAGAAACATGCAAAAAGGACAAACAGAAGAATTCCTTCAACACAGCTGCACTCAGAGGAGCTTGATAACAAGTGTACAGCATAAGCACAGCACAGCTCCCAACACAAAAGCCTGGAGAACTCCTATTATCAGTTGTTGACTTTTGCCCTGGCCGGAATTCAGGAAGCAGGATAGCTGGAAGACAGATCACGCAAACCAATCTGAGCCTGTCTCTGTTGAGACAACTAGAAGGCTCCAGAGATAGAGATTGCCCCATATCTCTTTCTTTTCAGGTTTCAAGGACAGTTTTATGAAGTTGAAGTACCTCTGATATATAAGGCACTGCACCTTATGGTAGAATTTAGTTCATGACAGCATTATTGTTGCACATATTGTTTGACGTATCTTCTAAATGTAAGGCAATAAAAAAAAGCCAGTTAATGGAAGCACAAAGAATGGAAAATCTGGGGAACATATTATTTTTATGGCAGGATTATCAAAAACCAGCTAGCCTTATCTTAAACCTGCTCCTTCAAATGTCAGCAGGAGTTCCACTCTCTGTTCAAATGAGAGCAGAATTAGGCAAGCTCAAAAGTTTTTCAAAACCTTATGTAAAAATGCTCCTGGTCAAATATACATTGTTCTTTCCCAGTCCTAAAAGTAGTCACAGCATAGTATTCTTACTGCAAATGAAAGAGGATATGCAAGTGTTAGAGTAAGCTTACTGGCTCACTGACATAACTGCCAAATTTAAAAGTACATAATATAATCTGGATGTGACAAAGGTAAATGTGCTCAAAGTCTCTCAGATTTGCCAGTGAAAAGAGGGTCCTTTCTTTTTTTGGCTTGTGTTAACTATGTGATCTTAAATGCCATCAAAGGACATGAATATATTAAAACACTTGTTAAAGACTGCTTCAGAAAGCCCCTGCAAAAAAAAAAAAAAAAAAAAAATTCAAAACTTCAAATAGATTTGTCAAAACACTTGTAAGGGAGAAAAAAAAATATTATTTTATGCTCCATTGAGTAACAGTGTGGTGGATACTAATTTAAATAATGTGCATACAAGTCAAAACATTTGTGAAGATATGCCTGAACTCCAATTTAAAAGCAGAGACAATTATTGTTTACTCTGTATATACATCCAAGAAAATTATCTATTCAACTGGTAATTTATAATGAGACAAAAATAGCTCCTTCCTCTCCATTTTTTTGGCCTCCAGTCCCAAAATTAGAGAAGCAGGGACCAGCATCACTGTTTGCAAGAGATGAGGAACACGAGATAACCTTACAACAAAACTGTTTTAAAGTGCCTTTCTAACTGTTGAGTTACTGTATCTAGGGGACCAGAAACTGAAACCCAACAGCTAGAAGCCTTCAGCTAGAAGCTGAAGAAGAATAAGTTTTCACAACTGCTAATTTAGACAGGTATAGTATCACCTTTTCTTTCTTTCTCAAGTTTTTTCTCCTGCAATAAGATTCCATATTCTTAGTATTTAATATGCTATACATAGCAAACCTGGCTCAACAGCTGGGGAAGCTGCTATTCATTATGAAATCCCTATCCTGCATGGCCAAACAGAACATCTGTTTTGCAGTTTGTGCTTTAAAAACAAAAATTCCACAAAGCAAAGCTGAAAAATACCACTAATATTGTCATGACCTGAGCTCCTTTCCACACAGATAATTCCACAAAAGGTCAACCCCCAAAGCCATTAAGTTTTGTTTCTCTTTAATCAGGTCTCTTTAACGACCTAGTATTCCTGACCTTCATTTCCTCCACCGCATTCTCTAGCTCTTCAGGGGACTTGTATTCAAAATCTTTCTCCAAATATTCTTCTTCAGCTTGGGTCATCCATTCCTGCATCTCTGCCAAATCTTTCTTCAGATTTACAGCCTTTTCCTGACTTTCAGACAGGCGATTTTTCTGACTAATGATCTAGAATCCAAGGTGGGAAAGAAACAGTAGGTTTTTTTACTTAAATGTCCTCTTATGTGTTAAAAGCCACAAGTCTTTATGAAAGCATTTTACCACCAAAACATTTTCAGCCCTTTTTAATTAACAAAAGACTTTCAGAGACCTACACGCACACATGAACTCTTTTTAGCAGATCAACAAAATCTAGAGGTGAGGGAAGGACGAAAAAGACCTTTTTTTCCTCATTGCATGTAAACTGGTAACAATCCCTGGAAAAAGTCAGACGGAGAAAAAAAAAACTCTTCTGATCGCAAGTATCATATAGTTAGGTATATCTTTATACTGAGCACTAAAACACCCTTCAGGCCTCACTTTCCACAGCCCAGGCAATCTGGATTCTGAATCAACAGCAAGGTTCTCCAACACAGATCCTTGCCAGGCATGGCAACTAAAGAAGTATGTTTCTACAGACAGGAGAAAGCTTCCACCCAAAAGAAACAACCAAATACACCAGATTGAAGTGGTAGTGTATTTATAGTCATTTGTTTTTTAAAGCTGCTTGGAAGCAGGCAGAAATTACACAGGGCCAGAATAATATTCCAGATTTCAGCAACAACAGAACAATAGCTCAAACTTCCCTCCTGCCCACCCCAGAAAGAGCAGCATGAGGCAAACTGAACAAATTAATTTTTAGTTACAAATAAAGTGTTCACTGTGCTCCTTCCAGTTAAGTATTGAGAAGTACATGTATTCACAGAAAACTGCTGTTGCAGAGGTATCCCCTAACATATTTGCACTTCTGAAGGATTCACTGGGCCTAGCTGGATTTCAGCTACTTTGACAGCGGAACAAGTAAAACTCACTCATCCCACTGTTTCACTGCTTCACCTCTTCACCATCCTACCAATGCCACACAACCAAACAGCCAGCTGCAGTAACAAGCAAGCACTAACAACGTATGGAGCACTCACCTGCTTGCTCAGTTTCTCCCACTGAGTCTGGCAGTCTACTAGCCTAGACTTTGCCCAAGTATTTACGCTTGCAATAGGCTGAGCTCTTAAAGCAGACTCTACTTCTTTCATCTCTTTCAGTGATGGTTCAATTGTTTCCATTTCATTGACAAACATCTGAGCACATGTCAGAGAAAATACATGTTCTTTAGCAAGACATTACACAAATTTATAGGATACCAATAATTTTGTAATTTTTAATTATTCCAGAGAAAATTTAATAAAAAAGCAGATTGATGCTGTGTTCAATACCAGACTGTTTAAAACAATCTTTCAGTGGCCCAAAACATCAGAATTACACAACTGAAAAACAAAATACAGCTTTGCCATATACAGCACAAACATTCTCACATGCCCAATGTCGACACTGGAACAACACGTTTGAAGATTATGTGCACTAAATATCCTGATGTTTCTGGCATATCTCAGACTTGTATTCTTTTCCCAGAAATAAACATTTGAAGATACACTGTAATTACTGACTGTAAGAAGTACTGCTACTTACTTGTGATCATTATGTGCCACTAGCTAGGGAGGAAAGTTACTTCTGAGATGCATACAACTCCTAAATCCTAGGAGCTTCAGACTTATTTGCTTGTTATTTTTATTGCCCTTATGAGTTTATTGCAGAAAGCACTTTTCACTCACAGATTCAATTCCCTAACCACAAAACTAGGAAAAATACATAAACATTTTCAGAGGAAATAATATCAACTTGTACATAAGTATTTACAAATATGGTGAAGACCTTTGAAAAGTACAAAGTGTTACAGCTACACACAAGGAACCAATTAAAATGTGCCCTGAAGCAAGATAAGACAATTTTTCTGTCAGGCTTTATGGAATATGCCATGGACAATATTTAATAAAACAAGCAAAATTAATAGAGAGATGCTAATAATTATTTCAAAAGATTCCTTAACAGAACAAAACTTACTGTGCACTGGTCAAGTTGTCTTTGAAGTCCTTCAGTATCTCCTTGAAGAGCCTTTTCTGCCATTAAGAAGTCCTTCACACCATCCATCCACTTCTGAACAACTTTTGAATCAGCCTAAATCAAATATAGTAATGAAGAGTTTATACACGATCATGATAAAGAATGTATGGCTGTTGCATTTCAACTTCTAGAAGCGTCAAAAGAATATTCTACAAGCTGCTAGTATTGCCTTGATCTTGAATCAGACCACCTTTGGTTTAATTTTGAGGCTTGATTGTTTGGTTAGTTTTTTCCACAATTTCTCTGTTCTCAAATTTATATGAAAATTAAATTCACAGTAATGATATTCTCCCATCCATGCCACAGCATAGTTTAATTGACACTGTGCTGCTCCAGGCTATCTATCACACAGAAACACAGGATCAACTAAGGAGGCAAGCATGGCTTCAAGAAGTATGATGTTACCCTTCACATGAAGGAACTGGATGAAGGCTGGGAATTGCATTTTCCTGATGACGGAAACCACGTACGACTGCTTCTACCACACTTATTCGACAGACATATTTCACTCCAAGGAAAAGAGAGGGCCCTATAGAAATATATGTGGGGAGAAGAAGAAGGGATAATGCTAAACATACTTGACAGGTAGAAGCTATGCTGAGAAAGCCATTTGCCTTACAGAGAAACAGGCATAAAAGGAAAATACCACAGAGGATTAGACTAACCACTAAACGAAAAATCTAGCTGTTTGAGGCCAATAGCAGCTAATGTACTCACTAGAGTAAAGCATAGGGCGGGGAAAGTAAATAGATACACAATTACAGCATTATCTGACCTAACATTTGAAGTTGCCTTATATCCTGCAATGAGGTAGGTGAGGAGGGAGACAGGAGCATTGTCATCTACTTCCCATGCAATTGTGGATGTTCTCAATCTCCCTTACAAACAAAACCACCACAAACTTAGAGCAGGGAGAAAGTTTTTCTTTGTCCTGGTTCAACTGAGTTATGTGATTGTCATTTTTTAATAATATAGTTGTACTGGTTTAATGAACATTTTTTGACTGTTTGGTTGTGTGTTTTTTAATAGATGGTATCTTTGTATTCTGACACAATTGTCGTCACAGAGCGCTGTAATTGAGAAGCAGAGTCAAAGCTCATCAGCTTCACCTTCTATCTGCAAGTCACAGAGGAAGAAAGCACATACTTTGTTTCCCTAAAAACCTTGCAATAACAGTTTTTTCAAGATCCATACATTACACATGGCTTCTCAAAAAAAACCTAATGAAAACTCATTAGACTAAGATCATGTTTATTTTTAGGCAAATGCTACCATTAGAGGCCAAAGTCATGACATTTTTTTCATTCCTTTTCCATTTTGGGGGAATTTCCTGCAGCTGATTAGTCTGAAAATAATTTTTGAAAAAATAGACCCCAGGAGGCTTAACGGTGAACCATGGCTTAATGTAAAAAAATATATATTTATAAAGGCTGCTATTTGACAATGCATTTTAGCATATAACTAATTTAGCTTGCTTACAGTAAGCTACTTGCATAAGTAGCTGAAGTGAATTAAATGGGATTACTCACAAAGTTAGGCACACATTTAAATAACTTGATGAATCACAAGCCAAGTCTAAAGAAGTTTAATGAAGTAAATGCTCCTGCACTGTGCAGGTAAATAATTACCAATGGACAAATACTCAGTGTAGGTTGTTGATGTACAAGAGCTCACAATTTTTAGACATGAACCAAAACACTGGATCAGTTCTAAAATTTATTCCAGGCAGGAACAATGATCAAATGTGCTGAATTTTAACTTGTTCACTCCTAGAAAAACCACACGATGTACAGCCAGGCAGTAGATTTAAAAGAACTGAGGGTGATACATAATCAAAGACACAGCAAGCCACACATTATTAGAGGTATGATAACAGAGTGTACAAGATACAGAAATTTTCTTCTAGAAAATACCAGATGCAAAACTGATACAATGAGCCTTGTCTGCTTTTCCCGTCACACAACTATTACGGACAGTCTCACGGTAAAACACAGGTCGTATCACTAATGCATGTGTTGTCATTTTGGGGGAGCCTCTGATACATCACAAATCAGAGAAGGGCCACCTGAACAGCAGAACCCAGAGACGGATCTGCCACTGACTTGCTCATCAGACTAACAAAGACATTTTAAGCACTGTTCACCTGTCTGTTGGCTGTTAAAATGAGAATACTTATGTTCAGTTTCTTTTCAAAAACCTAAATATGGGGAGTGCTGTTTTGGGAAATGCCAGTTTTTAAAGATGAATTAGGAAAAAAAGATTAAACATTAAAAATAATCCAACAGTTGTGTGTAGTTGCACACGACTGCATGCTCTCCAAGGGTTGCCATTCACTTACTCTTTTTTTTTTCTTTACCTCACCACTTTTAAATTATTTTTTTTCCCTTTAATAGCCAGACACTTCGTCTCCTCTCTTAACCAAGGAGATACTGTCCAGCCATTCTCCAAACTAATCTTGTGTCTCTGGTATCACATCTCTAGTACTGACCCATTCAGTGTCTGCACCAGGACCATATACCCAGTCTCCCAATCAATCTTTCTTTCAGTGCAATTTCCATCCTGACCTGGACAATGCCAGCCACAACATTTTTATTCAACTTGCTCCACATTCTCATTTTTATGCATACAGTGCTAGACTACAAAAATCTCTTTATAGATTAGTACCTTCAAAAGGAAAATCAGAGAATATACATACATGACTGTCCATCCACTGACAGCCTCATGAAACATTTAGAAAACACAGGAACTGTGTACTGAAAAATTCAGTTCATGAGAAAATCACACCACTGTAAGCCCTATATTTCTACAGATAGCACCACTATGTATTTCTTCCATTTTCAGTTATTTAATAATTATTTCTGTTGTTTCTTTTGCTTTAATATCTTTTTCAGCTTCTGTACTTCTTTTTAAGACAACAGGAAAGTTTTTAACATCTCACTTCGGACAATATTCTGTTCTCAGATCTATACAACAGCACGTGGCTTCAATGCTGCACTCTCCCATAGCTCTTCAAAATTCCCACAGGCATAAAAATCCACATCTTTCATGAGTGTTTCATACATGTGGTGATACCAACATCACTTTGGACAGCTGTGGAGAACAGGGCACTTCACCTTTGGCTGAAAAAACTGAATAATTGATTACTAAATCAAAACCTGCCATACTAATGCTGCACACATGTACTCTACTCTCAGTTAAACATGAAAAAGAATTTCAGTTTTCAGGAGCCATTCCTCACCCCGTTAAAGCTGTGATTTAGGGAAGTAGGTGCATGTACCGACCACTCAGCCGAACATGATTCAAGTGCAGAAAAATAAAGTTCTGCACTTACAAGAAATTAAGGGAGAAAAAAAATGCTGCTAAAACTGATGAGGTAGGTAGGTCTTGCTCAGCATAGCTACAGATAATCAAGGCAACTGGAAAGCTGCAATCATTTGAAGACAGAGAGCTGTTGCACAACAGACTTTGAGACAGGCTTACATGCAGAATATTTACTCTGTCATGCTAAATAACTGGTAAGTGTAACCAGAAAGAGAGGGAAGGGAAGAGAATGAGACATAGTGGGATATTGTACATTTAGGTCAAAGTCAGGAGAAAAATAAATGAGGAAATGGTTGCTGGAAAGTAATCACCAAGGGCTTGGCTAAGCAATAGAAGTTAATTTCTTTTAGGCTCCTCTACAAGTCAGGTCACTTTGCGCAGTCAGCTCCCGCTGACCAGCAGCATCAGCTCCTCCACAGCCCCACCTCATCCCTCAGGCTGCTGCAAGTAGCTACGGAAGGATGGGTTTGAAGGAACCAGACTAAAACTAGCAAATGTAGGTGTACAAGTACGCACATTCCTGAACATGTTTTTTAGGAGTGGGCAGGGACAGCTTTATCTTTATGCTTCAGGTAACAATATTACACAAAAGTGTTATACACAAGAAATACACCTTTTTCCTCTGAAAACCTGCAATTCCTCCTCCTACTGATAGGTCTGTTTGTGGCTTCCATTTACAAGTTCACTAGCCTAGACTGGACTACCATACCTATGCTATTCATACTCACACATCCCACACACACACTGCTAGGAGCAGCTCAAGTCCTGAAACAAATAATTAGCAAATAACACTTTATGAGCAGGAGCAAATTTTTCCATCCAGCCTTTTTCACAAGGTAAAAGTTTTCATGAGAACATGGGTGTGCACTCTTAATTGACTTTTAGTTACAATCTGTTACCCCTACGAAGACTTTGTCCAGGTTTGCAGTTCAAAAAAAAAAAAAAAAAAAAAGAGAGACTTGAAGCTTTTACTACTTCTGAACCATAATCAGCCATTGTCTACCCAACTTTCACTGCAACATCATGCAAGTCAATTACCTGACCTTACTAAGTTTCAGGTTAAACACATGTCTGTACTTCAGTAGTCATTAAAGATGCTATCTGGCTTAAAATAAAAAAAACAACAAACAAAAAAACCCCAAAAAACACCACACAACCAAAAACCACTTAGTTTGAAATTCAAATCCACTATCAAATAAAAGAACAGTCTTCTGCTACACAGGGAGGAGAGAGCAAGATTGAAGGAAACTTTTGGGGAAAATTGGTGGTGTGCATGCATGGCACCAATGTTCTGAAGAGGGTGCATGCAGCAAATTGCTTATGTTCATAAACCGTGTGATACATACTCTGTTAAATGGAAAAGAAAGTAAACAATCCCACATATTAAAATGTTTAATGCATGTAAAAACAAGGATTTCTGTTAGCTAATGCACATGTGCCTTCATGCCAAGAGACAGAGAATCTGTAAAAGCATCTTCTGGGTTTTTGCAGTTTAAAATATAATATGAAAATGAAGATAATATGAAACTTATTTAAAGTCTAGTTAAACATTTTTTGGGGGGGAAAAAAGAAAGGCTCTATATTTGGGCTTTTATACCGCTCTGACCAGCTTATACTTTCAAACTGATACTGAAGAATAGCTAGTGCCTATTTAACTTTTGGGTCACAATAATATTGGTATGGGATAAATCATGATATATTTAGTTTTCATTATTTTTTTCCCTCTCCCTAGAGGAATATAAATAGTCTAGAGAAGGGACTTAAAGCAAACACAAAGAAACGAATCTCACCAGTAAATACTGAGTCAACCTCAGCTAAGTTACTTAAGCACTTATCTCTCCCCTCTTTATCAATGGGTTAAACATCTAAATACCCTTTAAATACCCTTGCTTTTAATCCCTTCATTTTTAAAACACTGGGATTTTCTGTCATGCAGGATTTCATATGTGTGGGTGTGCATATATATATGCACATATATGTGTATATATATATATATAAAAAAAAAAAGAGTGCTGATTAATCTTAATTCTTTAACTCTCATTCCTGACACTTCACAGTCCATCTGTTGGAACTAGAGAACTCACTATACCCAAGCATTTTCTTTACTTCCTTTTTTAACGAGCTGTACTAATTCTTTATTACTGTCAACAGAAACGCCACTTGAAGGAGCAAGTTTTACTGTAGCAGGTATGGAATTTCAATTTTACATGTCAAACCAGTACAGCATTGGGCATCTGACACCAACCACAATAGAGGGCACTCTGCCTCTGGTGGGATCAAGCCTTCAACAGCACAGCTGACATACCCTTGACTTCAGTGTAACCTTTGCTCCTGATATTTAAAGAAAAGGAATGCTAATATTAAGTGAAAAGTAATTCTATTAGAAGATAAAGTAATATCCTGAGCATGTTAAAAGTCCTTTGCTATGCTGCTACAAATACACGGCATACACTTCCAGCCTCGGCCAGGCTAGTAGCCCATCAACATTCCACATCTCAATCAGTATCATCTGGACTCCTGCAGGAACACAGAGAAAGAAAGGGCTCTCAAACCACCAAGTTACATAACAAAAAAATACTTTCATTTTACCTCAAATATTCTCAACTTGGATGTAATTTCCTCCAGTAGTTTAACATCTTTGGAAATCTTGAGCTTTAACTTGTCCCAGTGTCCCTGCACATGCTTGAACTCTTGCATGTAGACCTTTTTTATTTCTGAAGAAGCATGTTTCTCCAAAGTCTTTGTCTCTTCAGCAAGTTTATCTACCCTGGGCTTCTGGGCTTCCAGGGTCTCACAAACTGTCTACAAGGGGGGGGGG